GTTATGATTTCACCCAACTATCAAAAATGATTCTCAATTATATAATTATTTCTAATCAATTTTTCAAAATTTATAAGCAAGAACATTAACGTACTTTTACTCCCTCTCTCGAGTGCCGAGTAAAAATTATTCCTATATTTCAATTCCAATATCTCTATTCCGAATTAAAATATAGAATTTATCAAGTTCATGGTTCTTAAATGGAACATACTTCAAAGGAATTATACTTTCTCTCGAAACCTATAATTTCGTAACTTGTGTTATTCTTATGATCACGCCTAAACTCCCCTCTTTCGAGTGCCGAAATTGATTAGCGTCAAATCATTCAATTAGTGTTCAATTAATTGAAAATATTAAAATCATAACACAAATAAAGACATGCGAAAAATCTAATAGAAATAACTAAAATTAAACAATCCATATTCTCAAGTTTTTGGCTACAATCAACCATAGATAATGAATATAGCTCATGATGTAATCTATGAAAATACTAAAATTCATATAAAAAGGTATAAGGAAGAGAATAGAAAAATTAGGATGTAAATCTTCAATTTCTTCTCTTGTTCTTCTTTGTCTTGTTCTTGAATCTCTTGATATTTTCCTCCTTGCCTTCTTGAAAATTTGTATTGAATTCTCCCTTGCCTTTTGAACCATTCTCCCCCTAAAATTTGGTCTTAAGGGTTGTATTTATAGTCGTTTGAAGTCTTGGAAGGATTGGAGTCACGTTGGGCTAAGAAAAAGTCCAAAAAAACTCAAAAATCCTGCGCTTCAACGCCACAATCGTGGCGTTGCTTCACCCAATTACTATTGAATTTCAGCAACGGTGGCGATTCGGCACCTAGTTTCGGCTAGAAATTCAGCATTGCACGTCCTTCATTATTTTTATCATAACTTTTTCTCCTAATATCCGATTGAAACAATTCAAGATGCTTTGAAAAGATAACCCAAAGAGATATAACTATGATTTAGATATTATTTTCCATTTCGAACGTTTGCTGTATCAAAAATGAGTCTCAATATGAGACTGAAAATTCGGAGCATAACTTTTTCTGTTGAAAATTTATGTGTGATAACACTTTGCATGTATATCATCCATTTGACTTCTTTCTTCATCCAATTAACTCCTAGAACTCTCGAATCTTCATTGCGAGGTCTGACACAACATTTAAGTATTTGTACATTAGTCCCCGAACTTTGAATCTCTTACAATTTCTCTTTTCCAGTTTACCAACTTTTGTTTATTTCCTTCAATTTAATCAACATATATCACAACATCAAAACACACGTTAAAACGCTCTAAAACTCGTAAAATTAGTTAAATATTAAATTTAGATGATGTTTAAAGTATGAGTGAAATACACTCATCAAATACCCTC